CACTGATATTCCCCTCGCAGGAAGAAGAAAGGAAAAGAATTACCATGCAGGCTGGTTTACCAAAGAAACCTCTTTCAGCCCAAACTTCTCTGAAGCCAGAGGCTCCATTCAGCCTGGCACACGTTCAAACAGCAAGGCCCCACCCCTCCCCGACACAGACTTGGAGATCCGATCCGTTCGCACAGAGTCAGCAGTCTGGAACATGTGTTTGCAATTGGAGGCTTCCTGTGAGGTTCGCAGGCCTTCATCACATGTCTTCCGGCATCTCTGTGGTTTGGGAGGCCTGGCCAGCCGGTCGTTGGACTAAATTTCTGGCTGAGCACAAATAAGGGGTCTTAGGGGCAGTTCTCCAGCCAGCAGGCTGGACTGTGGGCCTCGGGGTGCAGACGGGGCCTGCTCTCATGCATTTTCTCAGAAGATCATTTATCTTTTTTCCCCTCGTGTCAGAGAAGAAAATCCCTCTAGGACTGACCCACTGCTCCAATCCAGCCTCTCTGGGAGCCAGGGAGGTGGCACAGAGCCCCCTGCCCTGCCCACCCCCACCCTCCCTGCAGCCCAAGGGAAAGCTGGCAGGCCGGCCACACACGTCAAGCAAAACCACTGCCTGCCCCCAGCCTGGTGCCGCCGGGTGCCCCCACGCACCCTGGCTCATGCAAGGCCTGTTTTGCAGGAGTCACTCCCAGAGGAGCCATTCTCTTCCTAATGTGCTTCTTGGGCATTTCAAGGGATTCCATGAACCACACTCTCAAAAATCATGTTCTAAGGTATTAGCGTGACCGATTTCTCATTTAATCTGCCCCTACTCAACTTCTTTTCCGGATGGGATAACAGAGCTCTGGAAAAGCTCATTCTTTCTTACTTAACGCTGACATCCTTTCAACAATTTCTCCTCCCCCCGCCGTCTGCTTCAGGAAACAGAAATCAAGAGTTTGATGAGGAAACTTTCGGGAATTCCCTGGCAGTCCAGCAGTTGGGACTCCTGAGTTCTCACTACTGCAGGCTTGGATTCGATCCCTGGTCAAGGAACTGAGATTCCACAGCCATGTAGCTGGTCAAAAATGATACATAAATAGGTGAGGACTTCCCCGGTGGTCCAGTTGTTAGGAATCCTGCCAACGGAGGGGACATGCGTTCGATCCCTGGGCTGGGAAGATCCCACAGGCTGCTGGGCAACTAAGCACGTGCACCATTATGACTGTGCCCAGGTGCTGTAACTACTGAAGCCCGTGGGCCCTAGAGCCTGCGCTCTGCAACAAGAGAAGCCACAGCAATGAGAAGCCTGTGCACTGCAACTAGAGAGCAGTCCCCGCTTGCTACAACTACAGAAAGCCCTCACATAGCAATGAAGACCCAGCACAGCCAAAAATAAATAAAGAAAATTCAAAACTAAATAGGTGAGGACACTTCTTTAAGCTATCAGCACACACTGATTCTCCATCTGGTCAGAGTCCTGAGCCCCCTCCCTCCATCCAGGGTCTCCAGGACTATCCTCAAAGGCAAAGGAAAGCAGCTGATGAATTTTTCCAGAGGCTCTTCTGCAAATGTCCTTTATCATATGCAGCCTCAGGGCCCACATACTGGAAAGAAATGTCAGCCAGCCAGGGGGACCATGAATGTTCTCTATCCGAACATGGAACTTTCTCAAGGCCTGTGCTTTTGTTTAGTAGGGGGTGAGGTGGGCACAGAGGAGAAAAGTGAGAGAAAGGACAAGGAAAACTGCCCAAATGACTAAGAAATCTGGTGACAGAACAGTTCCCAGACTCTGACGTCCTGGCTCCCCATTCCCAGGGTCAAACATCATGTCCTCATGGATTACAGGAGAAGGTCCTCAGAAACAGGGGGAAGGGGCCCGGGGTGCATCTGCAGGGCTGCTGATCCTCTGTCTCAGCGGTACCATGAAGGCTACTTACCGGGCCAAAAACGCAATGGAGGAGGGCAGGTAGGGCGGCAAGTGCTGTGGACTTCCAGTGTGTGGATTGCATGCTCCGCAGTTCTCTGTCCTCATTAGTCAGACACAGATATTAACACGCACCTCACCTTGGACAGCAAGGAAATCAAACCAATCAATCCTAAAGGAAATCAACCCTGAATATTCACTGGAAGGACTGATGCTGAAGCTGAAGCTCCAATACTTTGGCCACCTGATGAGAGGATCCGACTCACTGGAAATGACCCTGATGCTGGAAAAGACTGAAGGCAAAAGGAGAGGGTGGCAGAGGATGAGATGGTTAGAGAACATCACCGACTCAATGGACATGAATGTCAGCATACTACATGAGACAGTGGAAGACAGGGGAGCCTGGCAGGCAGCAGTCCCTGTGGTTGCAAAGAGTCAGACACGACTGAGCAACTGAGCAACAAGAGATGCCATAAATAACAGAAAGTCTGACAACCAGGCCCCAGAGAAACAGGGGTTCTTTGTTCTCACATGAATCTAGAGGTAGATATTCCAGGGCTCAGATACTTATTCCATATTCATCGACCCTAAGACCCACTTTTCTCTTTTTCACATTTTAACATCTTGGGAATCCGACTGTGCTTTACCAACAAACCAGGGTTTCATTAGCAGCAAGCACATCTCTTTCCTACTGATACTTCAGTAAAGGTGTGTCTTAAAATACGGACTCTGTTTCAATGAAAGACAACGTGTTCTCAGGAGCTACACTCTTACCTTGGGGGCATTCATCCTCCTGCCTTGCCTCATGGTTGCAGGGTGGCTGCTGCACCTTCGACAATCACATCCAGATTGCAGATGGCAGGAAAAGAGATGTGGGAAGGAAATTCAAGGTTTTTTCTTCTGGAAACTTTGTCTTTTTAGCTAGGAAGAAATGTTCCTTCCAATAAATGTCCACTTTTATATTACTGACCAGGACTGAGTTGCATGGCCATCTGTTGGGTGCTGGGAAGGTAAGCTTTAGGTTCCCAGGTTCTGAGTGAGCCAATGTGTCGTGTCTGCTCCAGGAGGTAAAATAACAATCCCATGTCCTGGCTATTGTAAATAGAGCTGCACTATAGCCAGGACATGGAAGCAACCTAAATGTCTATCAACAAAAGAATGGATAAAGAAGATGTGATACATACATACAATGGAATATTACTCGGCCATAGAAAGGAATGAAATAGTGTCATTTGCAGCAATGTGGATAAACCTAGAGACTGTCATACAGAGAGAAGTAAGAAAGAGAAAAACAAATCTCATATATTAATGTGTACATACGGAATCTAGAAAATGATATAGATGATCTTATCTGCCTGCAATGTAGGAGACTCGGGTTCAATTCCTGGGTTGGGAAGGTGGACCAGATGCCAAGATCTTAGTTTTTGACTGTTGAGTTTTAAGCCAGATTTTTCACTGTCCTCTTTCACTTTTAAGAGGCTCTTTAGTTCCTCTTCACTTTCTACCATAAGGGTGGTGTCATCTGCATACCTGAAGTTATTGATATTTCTCCTGGCAATCTTGATTTCAGCTTGTGCTTCACCCAGTAACTACTCTCTAATAAAAATTAATTTGAAAACATAGTATAATAACAAGCCCAGTCTCTGCCGGGTATAATAGTAGAAGCTACCCAAGCAGCAGCTCTTTGCCTCTACACACACACAAAAAGGCATGACTTCTGTGCTGGGGTGAGAAAGCCAGTACACTAAACAGCCTCCGTTCTTGGAACGTGGCAACCAACACTCTCTAGGAATGCAAATAAGCTTTGCCCAGGAAAGAGCAAGACATACAAGTTTCTGCAGAACTATCTCCACAAGCTTATACACCTATTTATTTTCTGGTGCAAAATAAATAAACACACTGTTGTACTTTGCTCACAAATGGTTTCTTTGGTTTTTCCTCCACCAAGCACAGCCCATTTCCTGCTCCCACTCTTGGGCACTCTCAGCCCTGCAGCCCCTTCCAGCCTCAGCAGGAATGAGCCAGGCATCCTGGGCATCCGGCCATCCTATGGATGTGCCCAGCTTTCTCAGGCAACTGGAATGGAGCTGATCTCTCTTCAGCCCTTCATAGGGCTTCCCTGGTGGCTTAGATGGTAAAGAATCTGCCTGCAATGCCGGTGATATGAGTTCAATTCCGGGCTCAGGAGATCCCCTGGAGAAGGGAATGGCAATCCACTCCAGTATGCTTGCCTGGAGAATTCCATGGACAGAGGAGCCTGGTGGGCTATAGTCCATGGGGTCTCAAAGAGTCGGATACAACTGATTAACTAACACTTTCACTTACTTTCAGCTTCTCATAGATTAACTCACATAATCTTCCTGAGAATCTGCACGCAGGGTCTAAGCATTCCTATTTGCCAAAACTACGGCTCGGAGAAGTTAGGGACATGTTCGGGGTCACTGGCTGGGAAGCAAGGAGCTGAGACACAAACCCAGGCCGCCTGCACCCCATCCCCCCTGCAGCATGACTCAGTGCCTCCCCCGTGTTGCCGCTGTGTACCTCTCTGTTTAGACCAGAAAACAGCACATCAGGAGGCCATGGAAAGAGGAGGTATTGCAACTGTGGGGGCCCTAGGACCCCAAGACCTCCTCTCTTCTGCCCGTGCTGGGCAGGCAGTGCTCTGGAATCATGGAGATGGCCGGCACATGGCCAGCACACCAGCTAATCCGGTTCCCTCCCGAGACAGGTGAGGACATGGAAGCCCTGAATGGTAACAAGAAGAAATGGAGCCAGGGCTCAGACCACAGCTTCTAGGCCACTTGCCGTTTCCAGCATGATCTTCAAGGTCTCCGACGACAGTCACTCACGGAGCCAGGCCAAGAAGCTGCCCCCACCACAGCTACCTTGTGGATTTCCGTTCATCAATTGCACAAAAATATTTCCAGAGGGAGGACCACAGGCCCAGCATTGTTCTGGAAACGGGGCGACCAACAAGAGGTTATGACTAGGTTCTCATGCAGCTTATATCCTTGTGTGGCAGACAAGAAGGTTGTATAAAGGACCCGGAGCTGCATTTGAGAACGGGGGTCAGGGAAGCACTCTCAAAGGAGGTGACACTTACACGGGGAAGGATGAGAAAGAAGCAGCAGGTGAAGGTCTGGGGGAAGAACGGTCCAGGCAGAGGACAGAAGGCCTTGACGGGGATAGGGCTTGGCTACCCTAGCAAAGAAGGAAGGCCACTGGGGCTTGATTCTGGAAGAGAAGAAAGTGACAGGAGGGAGAGGAGGCCAAGGGCAGGTCCCGTGCAGCCCAGGGGCAAGGAGAGGGGCTTGGCTTTTGTTCTCCATACAGTGAGGAGTCACTGCAAGGTTTGCACCTGAGCCTGTGCTCTCACTTCAGCTTTAGAAAGATTGTTCTGGATGCTGGGGAAAGAGCAGAGAAGGGGCAAGAATACAAAGAGGCAGCTGAGTCCTCAGGCAGGACCAGCAGTCCTCAGGTCATGTCCTCATTAAACTGTGAACCTGCAGTTTTCACAAGGCCGCATGGCACAGCTGTGCGGGTTGTGCACTGCCCAACTCTGGGATGCCCATCACTTAATCTACGTATGGACAGCATCCTAACTGCTTCAGTCCTTTGTGACTCTGAAAGACTCTTACCAGCCTGACATAGTCATGTCAAAGGAGCAAAATGAAAACCTCTTTAGCACCATTTTTCTACATGAAAGTGAGACACACTACAAATCACTGTGTCTAGGATGGGATCCTTAATTATACAATGATGTAAATAGGAGGAACCATAAAATCTAAAATAACCTTTAATGAATTCACATCCACTGGAAAATACATTAATCCCTTGGTTATCTGGCTCAGCACTTAAAAAAAGAATCATTGATGATCCCCCCAAAATGGACTTTTAATTGTAATTGATTTAAACATGCACCAGGGACTTCCCTGGCAGTCCAGTGGTCGAAACTCCGCCTTCCAGTGCAGAGGGTGCAGGCTCCATCCCTGGTTGGGGAGCTAAGATTTCACATTTGGCCTCTAGGCCAAAAATTCAAAACATAAAAAAGGAAGCAATGTTGTAACAAATTCAATAAAGACTTTAAAACTGATCCACATAAAAAAAAAATCTTAATAAAATCAGCATGCACGGGACGATGGGTACTCACAGAGACAAGCTGCAGCTCTTCCATGGGCAATGGCATTTCAGTTCATATTACTGTCCAAACCTGACTCATGAATATTTAAAACGAACATAAATCCTCGTTCATTCTCTCATCAAACATGTGTTGAGAGTCTGCTGTACGTAGCCAGACATTGCTGGGTCTTGGAGCAAACAACCTGTATGTCCCCTGCTTTCATGGACCTTGGCATCTAATGGTCTGCACAGACACTAAACAAGGAAAAACACACAAATGCATAGACCGTTATAACTTATAATAAGGGCTAGAAAAGAAAAGGACAGAGAAGAGATTGGGGTGGGGGAGGGGACTCCTTTAGGTTGTAAGGATCCGAGAACAAATCCCTGGTGCCTTTATGATGATCAAGGACCACCATGGCTATGACACCTTTCCATGGCTCTCCCGCCTCATTTTCCTCACTCTCTCTTCAAGCTTATATTTGCTCAAGAATTCATTCTCTTATCCCCATTATCCTCCCTGCCCACCCCAGGCACTCCAAGCTCTGGGACCCTGAAGCACGCAGATAATCCTCAGAACCAGCACCGCATATCAAAGTGTTCTCGGGGGACAGCAGTGAGCAGTCTTGAAGAGAGAGCTTAGTTTCTTATCCAGGAACTGGACCTGGGTAGCCTGGATGAAAACCAGGAATCCCGGCCACGAGTCCACCAGGTGTGTGGGAGCAAGCACACAGCCCCTGAGTCCCCACATGAACCCCCAGAATTGACTCAGCCACACAGACGGCCTCGGCGGCCCCACAGCAGACTGGCAGACAGACTCCCAGACCAGCCTGGGAGCAGAGCAGCAGAGAGCATCACAGAAGAGCCCTAACACCTACCGGGTCCCCCAGCAGGGGACCAGGGCCAGACCCCAGGCACAGACTGCCCAAAGACGTCTTTGCAAAGTCTGCCCAGGGCTGTGCTGCTGAAACTTACCGCATCACCTGAGTGTATCCAACAGGCTTAAGAGCCACTGCCCCCAGCAGACCGGATCTGGGAAATTTACATTAACCACATTTTAGATTGGGCGCAAATCATGATCTATGCTGTCAGCAGAGCCTCTGGCTGGTTTCATAATTTATCCCACAGGTATCGAGGTCTATTACTGTCCGGCTGTGCTCCGAGCTAGAGAAATAAAGATGAATGGAACCCAGTCCTCACTCTCCAGCAATTTCCAACTGACCGACTGTAGCACCCTGGGGTGTCCTGAGCTAGAGCACCCATTAGTCCAAATGGAACTTTTACACAAACTAGGAAAAGGGACCCACTCTGAGCCAATGTAGCCTGGTGGACAGATGGGGCCGGCCACTGGTCCCCTTCTGTCTCTTCATCTGAGTACCCTGATGCAGCAAGCAACCTTGCCTCTGAGCTGGAAGGTCATGATGGGCTTACAACTTAACAGTCAGTGTCTAGCAGATGTTTCTGCTCCCGTTGGATTTGCATGCTAATGACGTCTTTCAAATGGAACACAGACCCAAAAAGTCCCATGACAGTGGAGGGAGAGTAAGCCAGCTCTGAGAAGGTGAGAGCTGTAAACTCAAGCCAGCATGGTGTTTATTGGAACATAAGAAACCATAATGTTTAAAATATACAAGAGCTCACATTCAGAGCAGCAAACCGGTATTAACAGGGACCAAGTGATAGATAGAGTGGGAGCTTTTATAGTCGCTGTGGGACCAAGTTACACTGCAGCAGTGACTGTGCTATAATTATTCTCGACTTGTTTAAGGTGTTTTTATTTTAATGCCTCAGGGTGCCACACACACACACCAATGAGGAAACACACACATACACAAAGGTTGGAAACCTTCAGTCTACCAGGAAAGAGGTGTAAAGAAAAGAATTCTAGCTCCTTGACTCAGTTCTTACTGGAGACCTCAGATCAAGAAGACAAGACACGCAATTCTACCTGGAGAGGTCAAGGAGGGCTTCCTGAAGGAGGTGAGAATGCAAACAACTTTGAAGACCGAGTAGGAGCTTCCTGAGCAGACAGGATGGGGAGAGCCTTGTGCAGATGCGAGAGGAAAGAGCAAGCTTTGTGTACATCCTGACTGTAGGCTGTGATGTGGCTGGATGTGGGGAGGGGATGAGTAAAGGATAGGGTAGGACGGGGAGGGGAAGCAGCTCATGAAAGAAAATCAATGACGTGGCTCTGTTCCTTTTATTTCCCTTCAATTCAATGCCCCCCCCCAAACCCTGCAGAAAAGATAAGATTAGTCTGAAGACACACATGGCACTTTCTTTGGGATCAGTGCGATTCTACAAGTCTGCATGTTTAACTTGAGTGGGAAATGAGTAGTTTGCAGAAATATCCAGGGCCCAGCTCTGCCGAACAGAAGCCCATGTTCAGGACCAGTGATGCAAAATGAAAATGGGGGCCTCCTGTTAGAAAATTACGGAGAATTTCAAGGCAGCACCAGCAAAGCATTAAATGAAGGACAAGCCTCTTTGTGTCATCCATGATTCTTTTTCTAAGTGCTGGGCCAGATAATCAAGGGATTCATGTATTTTCCAATGGGCATGAAGTAATTAAAAGTACAAGATTAATGCCATTTTCAAAAATTGTACAGTCCTAGAGATGATTATACTAAGTCAGCGGTCCCCAACCCCATTTTGGCACCTAGGGTCAAATCTTATATATAATGGAATACTATTCAGACATAAAAAAAGAATGAAATTTTGTCTCCAAGTCAGCATCATGGATGGACTTGTAGGGCGTTATGCTAAGTGAAATAAATCAGAAGGAAAAAGACAAATACTGTACAATGTTATTGACATGTGGAATTTAAAAACTACAACAGACTAGTGAATATAACACACAAAAAAGGCAGACTCACAGATATAGAGAACAAACTAGTGATTACCAGTGGGGAGGGGGAAGGGGAGGGGCAATAGAGGGGTAGGGGATGAAGAGGCACAAACTATTACGTAGAAAATAAGTCACAAGGAAATACTGCATAACATGGGGAATATAGCCAATATTTTATAATAAGTATAAACGGAGTATAACCTTTAAACACTGTGAATCACTGTGTTATACCTGTAACTTACATAATATGCATCAACTACACTTCAATTTAAATTTTTTAATTAAAAAAAGAATGTAAAATCTCTAAGTCAAAATGCTCCCTTTATGTCATTTTTACCTTATACATTTTGAAACTGTGCACAAAGATTTATCAGTACAGAAGACCAAAGCAGAACAAAACCCTCTTCTCAGACTATTAATTCTTTTGGCTTCAAATTCCATTCTATCTTATGTTACTAACAGCACACCTATTTCCCATGGTAAGCGTTTCCATTTCTTCACTTTGCAACTTTCTGTCTTATACTTTTGTATCCCCATTTAAACAACATATACCTGGACTTTGTTTTGTTACCCAATATGAGAGGCACAACCTTTTAATGCACACTTTAACCAAAGCACACAAATTGTGAGCACTGGAATACAAGGATGTATTTGGCCCATAAACTTGTATTTTCTATTCACAGGGCTTTCCTATTGTTTTTTTTCTTTTTTTCATTTCTTATTTTTGTTGTATTAGTCACGTTTTAGTTGCTGTGTTTCCCTTCTCTCTTGTAACAGTTTAAATTTATATATCCCATTTCTACTCTTCTTTTCTTAAACCTTTAATTTTTTTTCAGTAGAAGAAATTTTTTTTCGATAGAAGAAAATGAAGTTTTATTTCCAATGATGTGTGATTTTCAGTTGATAACTACTTTATCTTGCCCTGTTTGTTGTTGTTGTTTTTAATTTTTAGCAATGTAAAGTTACACAGATATTTTCTTCTTGTGAAAAACAAAAACATTATGGATTTGGTCAATTCCTCTTTACATCCAGAATGCCAATCTGCTCTCAAAAAGTAGTGACTATATTAAGTTTAAAGATATTCTTCTAACATTTTCCATGGATTATATTATATATATTACATGTATATTCAGTACATGTGTGCTTGGTCACACAGTCGTGTCCAACTCTTTGTGACCCCATGAACTGTAGCCTGCCAGGTTCCTCTGTCCATGGGATTTCCCAGGCAAGAATACTGGAGTGGGTTGCCACTTCCTACTCCAGGGGATCTCCCCAATCCAGGGATTGAGCCCACATCTCTTGCATCTCCTGCATTGACCAGCTAATTCTTTACCACTAGCGATACCTGGGAAGCCTCACATTCAATACACATATATTCACAAAAACTGGTATTTTCTTCAATTCCATTTCTAGAAATCTGTTATGAAGAAATAATTGAATAAATTGGCCAAAATATTAGGGAAGGAAATGGCAACCCACTCCAGTATTCTTGCATAGAGAATCCTGTGGATGGAGGAGCCTGGTGGGCTGCTGTCCATAGGGTCACACAGAGTCAGACATGACTGAAGCAACTTAGCATGCATGCATGCATTGGAGAAGGAAATGGCAACTCACTCCAGTATTCTTGCCTGGAGAATCCCAGGGACAGAGGAGCCTGGTGGGCTCCCGTCTATGGGGTTGCACAGAGTCGGACACGACTAAAGTGACTTAGCAGCAGCAGGCCAAAATATATGTGAAAAAATGTTTCATAACCACACTGTGAAATTTTTAATTAAAAACACTCTAAATATTCATCAATAGAAGACTGGTTAAGTAAATTGTGGTATATTCATATATTACATCAAAGGTGATGTAATATATTCTTAATTTCATTGACATAAAACAGTGACTAGAACATATTTTTAAAAGAAACAAGGATTTCCCTGGTGGCCCAGTGGCTAAGCCTCTATGCTCCAGTGCAGGGAGCCCAGGTTTGGTTCCTGGTCAGGGAACTAGATCCCAAGGGCTGCAACTAAGACCCGGCAGAGCCATATACATAATAAATATTTTTTTAAAAAGAAGAAGAAAGAGAAATAAATCAGGTTACAATCACACACACACACAAGTGTGCACACATGCACACGCACACAAATACACACACACTATGGAAAGGGTACTGACATAATAATCCAGTGATTCCCTCTGATGGCTAAGATTTCAAGTGATTTTGCTTTCTTTATTATCTTATATTAATTGAATTTTTACAATCAGCATACATAGATGTTATAATTTTAAAAATATTAAAAAATCTTTTCCAAAAAGATTAATCTTAAATGACACAAATGCTCCGAGAATATTTTTCATGTTTATCCAAAGGTTTCTTCTCCTCCCTGGCATATAGCCTTTGACGCCGGGAGATCCTATGTCCCCATTATAAAAGCAAGCTCTGGAGAACTTCTAAATAAGGAGGAAAGAGGGTTAGCATCATGTGTTATGCATACTAAAAACATCCAGCTGCAAATAGTCTGTGTCACTTCGCATGTCACTGGTATTATTTGCTCAGCTGTCAGTCCTTATGTTTTCTGAACCCTAGACACGTTTTTCTGTGTTTTGCCTTAAATAATATTCTTCTGGAAAAGAAGCAGGCACTAAAGCCCTTCGTGAAGAATGCCAAGAGCATGGCAAGCAGTCTAAGCAATGCTTCTGACACTGTTAATGAAAATCAATAATTATTTCAAGTACTCATTAGTGCAATTAATGTTCTTGGCGTCATTAGAAGTGTGCCTCGCAACCGCTGAAAAACTCCTACTCCTGGTGGAACATTTCTGTCCTGGGAATCATCCTTGAGATCGTGAGGTTTGGTGCCACAATCATTTTGTTACCACCTCCTATTAAGCCCCAGGAGTTGTTGCAAAAAAGAGTAGCTTGGTCATTAAGCTCACAGTTAAACGCAGGCTGAAGCCAAGCTGATCAATATTTAATATCTTGTCATTCTCCTGTCCCTTTGGAAAAGGCTCACCAGAGGCTACTTAATGCTATTTGTCACGTGAAGAAACCAAGACCAGTTCCCTCACCCTGGGGGTAGAAAGAGTCTTAAGAAGAATTTCTCCTGATTTTAAATAAAGATGAGGGGCCAGGCTGTCACACAAGCTAAAGGCTGTACACAAGAGGGGAGTGCTTTCCACCTGGTTGAGTCCACCTGCAGGAACATGGCTATTTTTCCTGAAAAGGGCTCGCAGAGTCTACACAAGGAGTTCTTATCCGGACCACATCAGGACTGCAGTTTAACAAGCAGGCATGTCAGGGAGCAGGAGGAGAGGTTGTCAAGGGAAACTTCATTTCCTTGCAACCCTCCTGGGTGCTGACTGCAAATTGTTTGGGAAGACAGGCTTGTCCTGGAGGATGGAGAAAGCCAGGTTTTACATTTCCTGACCTGTGACGGTTCAGGATCCAACCTGAACGCGAGGCTGATATACCAAATGTCCTGGGGGTGGGGATGCCAATAACATCAGATCATGCTCTTTAGTGTGTGTGTGTGTAAGCATCCACCCAAATAATAAGGTATTTTCTGTGACTCCATCTCTAGGAGTGGACATGGATACCATTGCCAGGAAACAAGGATATCAAGCCCCATGCTGGCATGAAGGGGACCCCACAAGATCTACCCTGTACCTCCAAGCAATAGGTGACAGTCATTTTAGATCTAAGGAAAGACGTCTAAATGGCATTATGTTTTTACATCTCTAAAGGAGTTTCAACAACTCCCAGCCTCCAGCACCCCATGATCGGTCTCGCTCAGACATAAGGCAGCAAATAGTGCCGAGTGCCAACTGGAAGCAGAAGCTGCCAGTCTCCAGCCAGGGGCAGAGAACGCAGGGCAGGCCTGGACGAGGTGTGTGCGTGCTAAGGCACTTCAGTTGTGTCCAAATCTTTGCATTCCTATGGACTGTAGCCCACCAGGCTCCTCTGTCCATGGGATTCGCCAGGCGAGAATACTGCAGTGGGTTGCCATGCCCTCCTCCAGGGGATCTTCCCAACCCAGGGATCAAACCCACATCTCTTGTGTCTCCTGCATTGGCAGGCGGATTCTTTACCATGTCTCTTGTGTCTCCTCCATTGGCAGGCAGACTCTTTACCACTAGCGCCGTTGGGAAAGCCCAGGATGAGGAACACAGGACTCCAATCTGGGACTAAAACTCCTCCTTCACTGTAGCTTCCTGTTGGGGGTTTCACCAGCCACTACTGGTTTTTCTCCCCAAATGAAGGACTTTGTTGTGATTGTCTAGTCAGTCGCTCAGTTGTTTCTGACTCTTTGCAACCCTGTGGACTGTAGCCCACCAAGCTCTTCTGTCTGTGGGATTTCCCAGTCAAAAATACTGGAGTGGGTAGCCATTCCCTTCTCCAGGGGATCTTCCAAACCCAGGGACTGAACCCGTGTCTCCTGCATTGCAGGCAGACTCTTTACCACTGAGCCACCAGGGAAGCCCAAATGAAGGACTATTCTTCCCATTTTTCAGATGCAGGAGCCAAGGCCAGCACCCAGCAGCCAAGCTCAAGCACCTGTGACTCAGTGCCCAGAGCTCAGGGGGCCGGTGTGGGGAGCTACGATGGGGGGCCTAGCCTGCACAAGGAGAGCCTTTGGAGGAGCCAGGTGACCAGGAAACCATGGCCTTCTTCACATGAACACAGGAGGAGGAAGGGAATGAACTATGTCCAGCTCACATCTCACTTACCTCTCCTCACCAAAGTGGTCCAAGCCGATGCCCAGTTTCCTTCCCCACAGGGGCTGGATCCTCAGCCACTCTGCCATCTTCTCCAAGCGTGTCCTGTGAAACAGAATGGAACGGATCAGGCGCTTGTTGGTGGAGCAGCACCTGGAGCGGACCACGGGCCCATTCTTTCAAAGAAGGTGAGGACAAAGCAAAGACTAAAGTCTAGGATTTCATAACCATGAGCCTGGTATGGGAACACGGGCCGCGTGTGGCTACTGAACACTTGAAATGTGTAAAGTGCAACTAAAGCACTAAATGTTTTATTTCAATTAATTTAATTAACCTAAATGTAAAAATTGACCATCTGAGGGACTTCCCTGGCAGTCCAGTGGTTAAGACTGCAATTCCTCTGTAGGGACGCAGGTTCAATCCCTGGTATGGGAACTAACATCCCGCATGCCACACAGTGTGACCAAAAAATAAATCAGTAAAAATGAGAAATTGGTCATTCGATTTGGTTTTTGGAAAGCATAAGTATGTGTCGAGCAACTTAGGTTTATAAATCTACTTTCTCAATCTTAAATTTTATTAAATCTAAATACAGAGCAGACATCTCCAGTGAAAAGGGAGCATCTGAACTCAGAGGTGCTATGAGTGTATAGTGCACACCAGGGTTGGAAACTCAGTAGGAAGAAAATCTAAAATATCTTTTTAATAACTTTTTATATTGATGCGTCCTGAAGTCATCACATTCTAGATATACTGTGTTAAATAAGATGTATTATGAAAAGTCATTTCACCTGTTTCTTTTAAAAAAATTTTTTTTTAATGTGGCTACTGGGAAATTTAAAATTACGTATCACATTTCCATGGGTTCACTACTCTCAATGTTAATGTTGCCAGGGACAGTGCTGGAAAGCGGACAACCTGGCCCAGAGGTTCATTTGTCACTGGTCCTCTCATATTGTTAAAAGGTCCCTCTGGAACATTTTCCAGCCCTCTCTTTTCTAATTACTGTTTCAACAACACTAACTTGCATGAGCACGCACGTCTCCTGCTCCTTACCCCCACAGCCTCTTCTCTGCTCAAGCCTCCTCCTTCTCTCCTCCACCGTTTTGAAACTACCTTCTACATCTCCTCCCACCCATTTCTAAGGGCTTTTTCTTTACCGTTACCTTCTCTGGCACATCTGTGTCACTTCACTAGAAGTTAAGGTGCTCCCCAGAGGTCAAGGTCCTCCCCAGAGGCCGTGGAAGGTCAGGGAGAGGCCCTCATATTCCATCTGCCCTGTCCTCTCTCCCACCACAGGCTCAGCCTTCACCCCAAGTGCAGTGCCAGGGGTCCACAGCCTCTCCCTTGCCCAGCCCACCACCTCTTCTTTCTCACTGACCCTCTGTCTCAGGGTGGATTTCTGGGAAACGGGCTGTGCACAGAGATGGACAGCCCAGCGTCAATGGGAGGGACTCTTGGGGACACAACTGTGAGAAAGCCAGAGAACAAGGGGCAGACAGTGAACTTGAACTAGATGCCATTTCCCCAGCAGCTGAGCCCTCAGGAAGCCCTGGAGCCCGATGGCCTCAGAGGCCTCCAGAGCAGAAGCAGTTCACCCAAGTGGGTCTAGATGCTCCTAAAGGGCTTGAAGGCAGGAGAAGGGGACAACAGAGGATGAGATGGTTAGATGGCATCACTGACTCAATGGACATGAGTTTGAGTAAACTCTGGGAGTTGGTGATGGACAGGGAGGCCTGGCATACTGTGGTCCATGGGGTCGCGAAGAGTCGGACACGACTGAGCGACTGAACTGAACTAAACTGAAAGGTGAGGGATAGTGGTTCATCTTCCCCCCTCCCCACCTCCAGCAAAGAGACTCTCTTAGAAGCTCCCAAAGATGTACTCATCGCCAAGTCTAATGCCGCCTCCTCTTCAGCATCCCTGGAGCCAGGGCCCTGCAGGACCTGTCCCCCCCCACCTCCCACTCCAGTGATGTGACCCCTGGCACCGTGCAGACCCCCTCCAGCTAGGACAGTTTCTTTCAACCACTCCTTTCCCGCTTAGACTAGGGTCTGTCTTCAGCCAGGCCCGCTCTGCCCCGTCTACACTCATCCTGCAACTCAGCTTCACGGCCCTCCAGACCTTGGGCTGGCTCCCTCACCCCCAGCACCACGGTGGCCTCTTTTCTGAGACCTGCCCCCCTCGACTTTCAGCTGCACACCCCCTTCCCCGCGGCCACCCCCCCCCCGCCCCCAGCTCTAGAGAGCTGTCCGTTGCATCGTCCCCAGTCACTCCCCCGCCATTTCAGGTCTTCCTCTATGGGGACTATGGCCATCATCTCCTTCCGAGACCCCCCACCCCACCTCCCCTCTGTCCACCTCTCACAGTTCTGGGAGGCCTGTCAGCTCTCCCCTGACTGTATTCCCTGACCCAGCAGCCTGGCAAATGGGTAACCCGGCTGTCTGTGGTCAAGTCTTAAGAGACCACGGGTTGGATAAGTTCTGGCCTTTGCTGCTTGGGGAAATGGCAGTAGCTGTCTCGCCCTGCCGGTTAGATCCAGTTTCGGCAGCTCTGCCCCTGCAGGAGGCCAGGACGGGACAAGTCCGGGGTTGGGGGGAGGGGGTGTTGGGGGGGGGGGGGTCGGGCTCTACTGCTTCTCTTCCTTTTCCTCCAATCCAGAAGGAGATCTTGGCTCCCCCAGGGCCCAGAAAATGGGAAACTGACAGCACACAAGACTCCCAGACGGCTAGGGCAGTAATGGGGTCGTCCTTGTTCGGGGGGCTTTCGGGGTTGGGCAGGAGGGAAGGGAGGATCTTTGTGACAAGAAGGGCTGGTTCTTGGAGTCCCTGGGCAACCCCCCACCCCCACGGCCAACTTCTCCCAGGACCTTGCCGGTTTCCCGCCCCACTAGGGGCTGACCCGGGGTAGGTGGGGCCAACGAGCCCTGGCGGACTCCCAAGTGGGTACTTGCAGGCCGCCCGACATCTATCCATCCATCCGTCCATCCGTCCATACCAGCTCCTCGCAGGGACCCCGGGGCCACCGCCCAGCGGCCCTGATTCCCACTGGATTCGCCCCCGCTCTCCGAACGAGAGAAAAACCAACCCCAAACAAAGACCGGCAGCCGGCGGGGCGGCGGGAGAAGGAGCCCTGGCATTGGAGGGGCCGGGGGTGGGCGCTCGGGAGGCGGGGCGTGGCCGCAGGAAGTGCCGATCTCGATCTCGGGGCTGAGCGCGGCTGCGGTGGTGACCCGTCAGCCCTGCAGCCCCCAGCCGGCCCGGCCCTGGCGGTCCTCGCTGCGGAGCCCGCAGCCGGTGAGTGCGGCGGGGGCGCGGGAGGGGGCCCGGCGGCCGCTAGGGACTCCAAGGGAGGGGGCTGGAGTCGGGGGTGCCCGGGGCCCAGCGCCGCGGCCCATTCTGGAGAGGAGGGGCAGGATGGGGCCGGCACGCAGTGCAGGCTGCCCTGTCTCCAGCTGGTGTCCCCAGCTGTCCTCCCGAGATTGCCCGTATGCACTTTGTGTCTTGGAAGGAAGCTCAGTGCACGCTGTCCCTGCTCCAGACGTCACTCCCTTTGTCCACCCTGACTCCTGGCAGCTCTTATGCGCGACCCGAGGTGACAGGTCCCGGGCCATCCCAGCTAGCACGGAAGGGTCCTTGGCTCTGTAGGCCAGGCAAGATTCACTCAATGCAGGCCACTGGCGTGTCTCCTCCAGGCGTTGGACTGTTCTCCGCGCAGGAGTCGTCTGTCTGCTGGGCAGGGTGGTCCACAAGTCTGTGGGCACATCTGTGTATTGGGGGTACCCGGCCCTGCGGGGCCTGTCACCTGTGTGTCCTGCCCCTTCCTGAGCGTGCAGCTGGCTGGCTTGTGTGGAAGGGCAGGAGGTGTGGAAGGTTCTGGGTGCGTTGTTTTCACCAACTCTGTGTCCACACACGTGACTTGGCTGGAGAACATGAAGGGGGCTCAGGAAGGCATCTCAACCTGCGTCTCGGGTCTGAGGGCGAGGGGTGAGCGCCGGTGGTCTCTGCGTGTGGGCACGCGCTGTGGGGCAGGGTGGAGGGGTAAGGCTTCCCTGGTGGCTCAGTGGTAAAGAATCCGCCCGCCAGTGCAGGATACACAGGTTCGATCCCCAGGTCAGGAAGATCCCCTGGAGAAGGGAATGGCAACCCACTCCAGTATTCTTGCTTGGAGGATCCCATGAACAGAGGCAGCTACAGTTCATGGGGTTGCAAAGAGTTGGAGAGGAAAGAGCTTCTGGAAAAACCGCAAGGGCCCTCTAGCTCCTGAACTCTTGGGGACACGTCTCGGGTAGATGGACATGTGGGGAGAGACTGGGGCTCTGGGCAGCTGTGGGCAGCTGCATTAGAGGTGACCTCAGAGACCTGAGTTTGAACCGGTGACATCTCCCCCGCTCCTGTCATCCTGGGGCTCCATTGCTTTGAGTCTAATGACTGCTGTCCTGCCCACCTCTCGAGGCGGCTGGCCGCTTAAGTGGGCTGAGTCCTGGGAGAGTGCTTTGACAGCAGACAGGCTCTGACGGCACAGGCCGAGGGCTGGGGCCACAGTTCCAGTCGAGGATTTGGGGAGTGCCTGCAGGAGACCCAGGTGTGATCCAGGTCAGGAAGATCCCCCTGGAGAAGGGAATGACAACCCACTCTAGTATTCTTGCCTGGAGAATCCCATGAACAGAGGAGACTAGAGGGCTACAGTTCGTGGGGTCTCCAAGGGTCGGACACGACTGAGCGACACTTGGGGGCCCGCTCTGCGGGCAGTGGAAGGAGCTATCTTCTCATTGCTTCCCTGCGTGTTCCAGAGATGAGAGTGTGTGCCTGGCGCCGGCCTTGATCCCCTGGCGTGTGAGGTTTGTAGGGCAGGCCCTTAGGTGTGGACACTTCAGCAGTACACAAGGACAGCTGGCTCGATGGGTCCTCACCTCGTAGCCCTGGAGCAGCTGCACTGGGCAGAGAGCCTTCTCCAGGCAGGCCGGGACCTTCATACCCTCTGGCTGGTTTTTCTCATGTGACCCCTGGGCACGGCCAGGGCACCTTCCACAGCTCGGGCCGGGGAGGTGGCAGAGGAGGGAGGTCTCTGTCCCAAGTCACCAGCTTCATTTCAGTTCAGTTGAGTTCAGTCGCTCAGTCGTGTCCGACTCTTTGTGACCCCATGGACTGCAG